TCAGGCCTGGATCGATGGCGGATCGAGCCCGGCTTGCAAAGATACCACCGCCGGAGGCAGCTCTAAAGTGTCCTCGCTGTGAATCTACCAACACGAAATTCTGCTACTTCAACAACTACAGCCTGTCTCAACCCAGGCACTTCTGCAAGACCTGTAGGCGTTACTGGACAAGAGGAGGCGCTCTCAGGAACGTTCCGGTTGGCGGAGGATGCCGCAGAAACAAGAAGACCAAGAGAAGCCGCTCCAAGTCTCCGGCAGCCTCCGACAAACAGCCACCGTCTAACCCCTCATCAGGCGGGGCCGCCATAGCCACCGAGCTGATTGGTCATATGCCGTCCCAAGCATCTAATTTACCATTCATGGCGTCCTTACAGAATCTGAGTCGCTATGGCGTGGGAAGCATGGGCCTCAACTTGCAAGGACAGAGTGATCACATGTTTCCCATTGGACTTAATGGAAGTGATATTTCGAGCGGAGGACTGGATCAGTGGCGGTTAAAGCAGTTTACTTTCTTGAATGGTTTTGATCAGTCAAGTTCAGCTGCTTCTGCTTCAAACCCATTTCAAAGCGAACTTGGGAATTCTAGGGTTACGCAGCTGCCGCCAGTTAAGTTGGAAGACAATGGAGCGCTAAATTTGTCCAGGTCGCAAGCTCGGAGTATATCAGAAAATAACAACCAATACTACTCATGGACTCCAACCACAGATATTATATCAGGCCTTGCCTCTTCTTCCACGACCCATGTGTTGTAATTTCCAAATCAATTAATTGTTATTGCACCACCATCTGTAGTGCATCGGAGAAATTCAAGTTCCCGGATGGTGTAGATGCTCAGCCCAACTTCCCCAGGCCTAGTCCCAGATATGGTCAGAATTCGATACATAGATATATATATATATATATATATACACAGCCATATATAGACATATGGACGTATTGTTGTCTTTGTTAATGTTTTGGATATCGTGTTTCTTGTGTACTATATGAGCTTGCTTTGTATAATTGTGTGTGCATGTACGATGCGTTATGTTTTCTGTATGCTATCTGGCGTCATGACCTCATCTCAATACAAAATCTTCGGAGGGAGGTTACGTAGCTAAACGGGTGCCCGTTTCTAGACGGTTACGACTAGCCCCCACACTGCTTCTCAAAGTTTTCTTTCATGGATGCCACGTTCATCGGTAAAGAATGCAAAACTGACACTAAAGAACGTGCCTCCTCCTTTGCTTCGTCCCAGGCAGTGTATCTCGGGATGGTAGCTTGGGACTTCAAGATTTAGTAGTTTTAATTGTCTAGTTAATGTTTACATCTTGCAGCTCGATCCTATGCAAGTTCACATAATATATAATATCTGCCGCGAAAATACTCCTCAGCAAAGCCCTGTGCATAATGGTCTGGAGTTTTAGATATAATATGCTGGTACTTATATATAATCAAACGTCCAACACAAGTTGAAAGTGTAAAGTAATTAATAGACTCTCCATATTTCATGAAGGTGGCCGGACTTCTACGGACCTTGAGTTGCAAGAGTCGTATAATGCCCCCGCGCCCTTAATTAATTATCTCCGTAATTATGGCAAAATTTGAATGGCAGCTCGTACGTAGTGTTCGACTTCTAGAGTGCTAATAATTGAATCAGATTTTTTTTTTTTACATCTTTGTAATAGACTTGTAATTGGGCAATATTACAGAGTTTGAGAAGCTTTTTAATTATTAATTTTTAATATTCACAATGTATAATATTTAATAAGTATACGGACGAATTATTGCAAAAAAAAAATCTAAGAAAGAATAAAGGCTTTAATTCCCGCGATCAGATTAATTAATCCCTTTCTGGTTTATCCTTCACCCGCCAGAAATAAAACCTAGAAGGACGTGGGCGGGTCAAGAGTCGAGCAAAGGAAAGAGAGAGGATGTCAAAAATGGTGTGTTATTTATAAGCCAAGAGTTGAAGTTAATTGCAACGATATGTGAGGTTAGATTTCATGTGAGAGCCATGGGACGTACTTATTTGTTTGATTTGAGGTTGAGAGTAGACGAGATCAGACATTCAGATGGGAGCATTTGAAGAAGACGCCAAAATCCACACTCAAAACCATGCAATTCCATACCCGACCAAGCCTAAGAGGGTGATCATTCTAGAACATCCTAGGCACGATGGAGCAAGATACAAACGACATGAATTAACGCATCATTGTAGTATATATTATGCCCCTGAGATCTCAAAAGAAGAGAAAAAGATTCTACGGTCAAAGGAAGTTCGCGACCTTATGAACTCGCCCTCTCCTACCCACTCTCCTCCTTTGGAGCGATCAACTATCTCTATCTCGCACACTTCAAATTATATACGGACTCAATTGGTTATGGGATTGCTTTTCAACTCTTAAAAGTATTTTTAAAAAACATTTTTCTACAAAACGAAATAAATTTCTCTATATATTTATTTTATAAACTGTAAAAACACTTTTAAAATTATAATTTGATTTCTATCTAAACACTCATAATATATTCTAATTAATCCTACCGGAAACAACGAATAATTTAACCAAGAAATAAAAATAAAACACATCAGGAAAAGGCACAGCAATGAGAGGATTACTTTTGCAGGGACCGATACAGCTTTCAAGAACGAATAAAGCAACAAAACCAGTAGAGACCAATGCAGATAAAAGCCCTCCCTGTGTCCGTCTGTCGTGACCCTGTCTAACAGGGACGTAGGTGTCCAACGTGGCATCCTGTGATCCAAAAATGTCGGTGTCAGTGCCCCCCGGGGAAAAACTATTTCTGTAAAAATAAATAAATAAATATTATTATCGTTATAAATTACTTTAAAATTTATAACAATTAAGTCATCTGTCTGTATAGCTCTAATGACCATAAAATATGAGCCTCGTGAGTTGTGAGAAATTTAAAAAATAAAATGCAGTATAATAGGTTTATTGAAAATTTTAAAATATGACGAGAAAGACGGAAATTTTAGATGAAAACCCAGAGGAGAGGGGTGTGTCGGTAAAATTCCGGAGGATGGCAGGGTCAGGGACGGGGGGAATCAAAAGAGGCACAGAAATTGATGCGGAGCCGTGGACGTGTACGTGGCGAAACCTGCGCCGTTGGATGGGTAAGGGATGCAAAAGCAAAAGGTGCCTCACTGCCCTGCATCGTCTTTCTTTCTCTTCCGATTCCCCCGTTGGTTCTCTGCCACTTTCTCATTCTTTTTCTCCTTCGTCTTCTTCTACTTAAGTTGTGGCCTTTGCCCTCTCTGCTTTTTCTTTTCTGTAGATGCGCGGGACCCGTCCCCCACATCAATGGCGTCCCACGCCACGACGCAACTATTTATTTACGTACGCACACTGAGTCCTCTTTATCGTCCTCATAATTGGTAACGTAACACTCATTACTGAAGATATGAAAGGGGACATTCGCAATCATTTTACACTCTAGATTATAATACTAGAGTGCCTCAATATGACAGGTTCTTACAAGTACTTCTGGTTGGGTGTTACCATGTAGTAATATGAATTGCACCTCAGTTTATTAGAGATTTGTTGGGACTTTATTACCCGTGATGTCAGCTCAAGATGGCCATGTTATGGCAATATATTATGCATAGCGCCTCATTTTTCGTCCAAATGTCAAAATAGGTCTATGTCGACCTCCCCTAACGATCAAGGGACCAGATTGATGAGCTTAAGTTCATAGTTTGGATTTGATGTCATGCATTTATCTTAGCGTTCTGTGGCAATCTCAACCTGCGAAGCAACTTGTCGATCGCTTGCCATTCTCTTATCCTCCTCTTCTATTCTGCTCTCCTTGTCTGCCTTCTTAGCTCTGAGCCAGTACCAGAGTTTCCAATCAAATCCTTCACTTCATGTGCTGTTGAGAAAAGCCCTTCAAATAGCTCCAAATTTAATCAAGATTTGACCTTTGCCCAGTGCATAAGACGGCACATGGCCGGATCAAATCAGTTTCACAACAATTTGAAGCCCAATCCTCAAATCCTTTTGGTCTTGGAATTTAAACCCAAGGCCCGGTCCAACTTTGCATATATACAACCCAACACATGGCAGGTCGGGGACACCAGCTTGAGTTGGGGTGCAGATCGTCTCCAGCTCGATATATATGGATACAATACAATATCTAATTGCAAATTCTTATATCATTTAATGAAGTGGATGTCGTAGAGTTTCAAGGTTATTTTACGTATGCAAAGTTGTAAACACCAACACTATCTCTGAGGTAATTTTGACACCCTCTGTAATTAGTGCCCATTATTAGTTTTTGGTGGGATATGCAGTCAGATTGAGTTGGAATATGAATCACAGCCTGTTGAAGTATATCAATGGGGGGAAGTCTAAATGAGGGGAAACATGTTCACTTTTTTGGCCCCCTCCTCGAACTGGCCCGTACCGATTGCGGCACATAATGTATGTGACGTAGGCCAGTGAGGCAGATTTATGCAGCAATCTGTTTTGAGCAAGAGTATTTACGATAGAAGTTCAGGACTAATGCATACTATTTAGACAACACAAAATAGGTTACTTAAAATGTAAAGTAGAGTTAAGCGTGTATAAAATTACTAGTATTAGTATCTTACCAGGAATATACTTCATTTATTAGCAGTTTAAAGGAAGCTGATCGAGTTCAATAAAGTTCGAGTTTTGACGAGTTAGAACTTAATCCGGAGTAGTTATTTATAGCTGTAAGTGCTAGATATGCCACCTAGCCGTTTTGTGGAAGCACTGATGATGTCGTTCCCGCTTGAAGGAGAAAGTATCAAGTGTCTCACATCCTCCACACTCCAAATGAATAAACTAGAACAAAATTTTCTTTCTTCTTTTCCTACTTTCGTATTTTTATTCAAAATGAAGAAGGGAACACAAATTTCACACTCAGTACTTGCTCATCTCCAATGCATCCACTCCAAAAACCCACTCTCTTAAAGAAAAATAAGGCTACCTGAGTTAAAATGCACCAGTTTCGCACTTCAAATGGGCACATACTTAGGCTGGGGCAGATTGTGCACGCACACAGGCAAAGGAAAACAAGGCCGCAAGGGAGCCAAAACGATTGATTTGTGTTGATCCCCCTCGTTTCCTTTCTCTCCTTGGATGCACCCAGTTGGGGGGAGCAACGTTGCCGTTAACAAACAGAGAATTTGATTGTCCCGTGTTTTGGGTTTGAGCCAATACAAAGTCATCGTCAGGTCCATATATGGGGATGCTTTGGTTCCTTCTGTTCTCAATAGTTGCTTTTCTTTCCTCAGCTAGAAAATGGCCAAGTGACGCAACATTTTTCTCCTTCCCTTCATTGCCGGCATCATGGTTGGTCCTCCAGCATGAACGCCCTAACCATGACCTCCAATTGGATTTCTCTCCCTTCTTTCTCTTCAACACTTGTGTCTTTACCCCTCTCAGTGATCTTCTCGATAGCTCCAAAATGCTTGACACGCCTATCAGGCTCCCAAGCGTCCTACTCTTGTCCGGGAAAAATGACCCAGTTGACTGAATTATAACAACCATTATTTCAGCACCTCATACTAACTCTAGTTATAATCATCATTTTAAATACATGTATTTTCACAAATATGTGCAGGATTTATTTAATGTGAATGATGTGCTTTTCACAAATAAATGTAATAGAGATTAAGGATATAGGGTCAATATTAGAAATAACAGAACTCTTCAGTACCTTTTCCCCCACCCCAAAAAAAAAAAAAAATCTCTGCATGCCCCAGTGAAAAAGATTCATCTGCTTTATTAATGTGTAACCATTCTACGCTAAAATTGCAATATTTCCCAACTGGCCCATCCTCTAATTTGACTAAGTTTCTCCTTATTAATTAGTAATCACCTTAAATATCTATAATATATACAGGTCTTTCTAGCCATGCAGAGTGTAGATATTGAACCTAGATTTACTGTGCGAATCTCGATTGTCCAAGAAAGGCAAAAGCTAATTGTATCAATAGGTAAACTTTAAAACTCCTTTCTAAATTATTGATTCCAATTATGCAATGGAAAGCTGCAGGAGAGGAACAAAGTTTTAAGATGTGATGCCCTTAATTAATTAGTTGATTTGAAAATTTTCTCTAATTAGAGTAATTGATACAGTCATTCCAAGTCTTATCACCTGAGTAATGACAGAAGCATGTAATTGCAGAAAAAGACAAGTCGTAAGATCTAAGACACGAAAGTGGAGGGTATCTATGCTAATCGAAACCAGCACGTCACATGATATCTCGCAATGCTTGCTATTGTGGCGGCAACAGCAACATGAAATTACTTCTTATTTTTTGGGTATAGAAACAGAGTCATTTTCAGAACCAAAAGGATCACCTTCAATAATAATGCAAATTCACTGACCTCTGTGTCTAAATCTGAAGAAGAATCTGTAGAAGAAGAGAAAGAAGGAGAACCCGTGACAGCGGTGTTGAATGAGACAGAACCAGAATTGTCACGGTTTCCAGCTAAACCAATCCTCGCATTCAATGGCTGTAAGCCGAAAGGCCATCCCTCATCCTAAGATCAACTCAAATTGGGAAATAAAGCTATGAAATAAGTTCACAACCCTCCAACTTCAGTGGAAGCCAAGAGAAGAAGAGGGTGTAATTTTCAAGTAAGACCCACATTTTCGGAGATGACGAGACAAAAATAAGAATGGATCTCAGGGGAAAAAATTCAAAACACGTATAGAGGGAAGCATATAATAAATACCTGTTGAGCCATGAATGAGCAGAATCAGAAGCTCGCACTATCTATATTTAGTTGAATGTTTGCATAAGAAGCCGGGAGGATAGATCAGGTGTCAGAGCGGGGTGCAAGAATAGTGGTTCTGTGCTGTGCATTTTGGAGCTCGGGAGTGTGGGCTAATGCCAAGAGCGGTGTGTGGTGTGAAGATACTAAGGTCGGTATAGAGATGAGGGGGCCTACGGTAAAAGTAGAAGAAGAAAGGGTCAAAAAAGAGTGAGCTGAGGAGTGAGAGTGTGAGACAGGAGATTTGAGAGTGCTTGTCACTTGTCAGCTTTTTAACATTGTGGCCGCGTTGTTGACTAGAAGCCCGGAACATCATTATTCATTACTACAAGTCTTTCGAAATGACGTGGATGCCCTCGTTCGAGGAACAGCCATTCAAGATTCTGCAGATATAGCACACTCGCCGGTGAGGGTAATTTACTCCAGCAAAACTAGCTCATGCAATCCCATGAAAAGGTTCTTAAGCAACGTAAATAATAATGATGTCGGGAAGTTGGATCCAGTCCTGTTGCCCCAGCACTGGATGCCATACAATCCCAGAATCCTGGCCGCACATTCCCATTTTGTGGTGCAGGATTCACCAGGGACCCATTTTCACAAATTCTAAAAGCTGTCTCTCCTCACTAGTATTATTCAACCTCGGGTGCCCTTTCACCAAAAGGGAGGAAAAGGTTTCGCATGCCTCCTTTCGACCTCCCCACTCTTCATTTGTCAACACAACACGTTCTGCTCTTTGGGTTTGGGCATCCCATTTCCTGTCTTCTGATTATTTTTTTAACTAAGGAAGCCCATAAAAAATTGGGCCGGCCCAAATTACGATGAGGAAGCTCCGCGTGTTACTGGGCACAGGAACTTGGATGCGAAACCCAGGTCACGCTTCGTAATGCCCTCCCCATGCAGTTTCGGGTTGCCTTCAATTCCATTACATGACTCCATGGGAAAAGGGGAAAAAGATAAAGAAGGGCAGCAGAGTCGGAACCCCAGGTCCATCTATTTTCAGAGATTGGGCTGGTAATGTGATTTTGACAGTACGATGAAGAGCGTGTTACACTGTGGGTGTCGCTGATACATGGCGTATTGCTGTCAAACTACGATTGGCCCCACGCATGCATGCCTGTCAGCCGCAATGCCCCCGCCCCGCCCCGCCCCACCCCCCACACTATGGCAGTTCCACTTCAAGAATCTAATCAATTACTTGTCTTGTAGTAGCTTCTGTTTTAAATATAAATTCTATTTTTTAGTATAATTTATGTTACAAAATAAATGTTATTTTTAGTAGGGAAAAAGACAGAAAAATGCTACTTAAATTTCATAATCCCCAAATGGTATGTTAAATTTGAGAAATCCCAATTTGGTCTCAAGAGACCAAATTGGGATTATCATGTTAAAAAAAAGACCAAATTGCCCTTCATTTTAAATGTTGTTTTTAAAATATCACAGCCCCCATTGGCCGGCCGGTCACCGGAGCTCCGTCGGTCGGAAATTTTTTTTTTGAAAATCTTTACAACTTCAGTATAATGGTTAACTTTTGTAATGCTATTAACAATTTCAGTATAGCAATTAACAACAGGTTTTCTGAGAAATTCAACAAATTCCGGCGACCGGAAACAATTTTTTTGAAAATTTTTACAACTTCAATATAATCGTTAACAACTTTTGTAACGCTATTAAAACCTTCAGTATAGCAATTAACAACAGGTTTTCTGAAAAATTCAACAAGCTCCGGTGACCAGAAACAATTTGTTTGAAAATTTTTACAACTTCACTATAACGATTAACAATTTTTATAACTCTATTAATAACTTTAATATAGCGGTTAACAACAGGTTTTTGAGTTTGTTAACGGCATTACTGAAGTTATAAAAATGACATTTTTTGAATTTTTTGAAAAAAGCTGTTGTTAACTGCTATATCGAAGTTGTTAACTGTTATACTGAAATTGTAAAAATTTTCAAAAAAATTGTTTCCGGTCACTGGAGCTTGTTGAATTTTCCAGAAAACCTGTTGTTAATAACATTATAAAAGTTGTTAACCGTTATACTGAAATTGTAAAAATTTTCAACTTCTGTATAATGTTAACAATTACGTTTTTTTTAAAAAAAAATTTACAACTTCAGTATAACGGTTAACAATTTCCATATAGTAGTTAACAACAACTTTTTCGGAAAATTCAAAAAGTGGCATTTTTATAACTTCAGTAATGCCGTTAACAAACTCAAAAACCTGTTGTTAACCGCTATACTGAAATTGTTAATAGAGTTACAAAAGTTATTAACTGTTATACTAAAGTTGTAAAAATTTTCAAACAAATTGTTTCCGATCACCAGAGTTTGTTAAATTTTCTAGAAAACCTGTTGTTAATTGCTATACTGAAGTTGTTAATAGCGTTACAAAAGTTGTTAATGGTTATATTTAAGTTGTAAAAATTATCAAAAAAATTGTTTCCGGTCGCCGGAATTTGTTGAATTTCCCAGAAAACCTGTTGTTAATTGCTATACTGAAATTGTTAATAGCATTACAAAAGTTGTTAACCGTTATACTGAAGTTGTAAAAATTTTCAAAAAAAATTTTCCGACCGACGAAACTCTGGTGATTGCAGTTGCCGAAGCTCCAGTGACCGGCCGGCCAATGGGAGCTGTGATATTTTAAAAACAATATTTAAAATGAAGGGCAATTTGGTCTCTTTTTTTTAACATGATAATCCCAATTTGGTCTCTTGAGACCAAATTGGGATTTCTCAAATTTAACATACCATTTGAGAAATGAGAATTATGAAGTTTAACTAGCATTTTTCTGTCTTTTTCCCTTTTTAGTATGCCATACTCAAACACTCCCCCGCCTTGTCCGTGTACATATCTAATGGATATATATGCAGCTTAAGGATCATGGACAACGTATCGCTTTTTTTTTTTTTCGAAGAAAAAAAAGAACTAAAAAACGGAAGAATTATGAGCTACCAAAGAACTAGTTGAAAACTATTTATTAAATAAATATTAGTTAAATTACCCACAAAATAAATATTATAACAGGACGGCATGTTAGTTTAAAATTAAACTATAATAATACCGACTTATATCACTATACTAATTGACAATCCACGTAAATATCAACATATTCGATGGCAACAACTCTCTCAGTTTTTTTTTTTTGCAATATATGAGGCTGGCTCAAGGAGTTGAAGTAGGATGCGGTGTTGATAAAGATATACTCCTCTGGTCCTTAATATATGACCTAATTATTGATTTGATTTTGATCATAAATATAAAACTTATTTTTCATATTGATCATTTTTTTTAAATTACTCATATGGATACTTTCTCAACCATAATCGAATAGAAGAGGAAGGGAGGATATTAAGGAAGATGATTATGGTGTTTTTAGGAAAAACATGTCATATTTCTTATAATTAACTAACTCATCTAACTTTTTTAATCTAATCAAATTAATTAAATAAGTCTTATATTAAAGACTAAAGAAGTATATATTTATATATATATATATATATAAATTAACATCACAGACGACGATAAGCTAGGAGATACCGTTGCTTTTTATTAGTCAAGTTAGTTTTAAGTCAGTTTTAACTGATATTGTACTCGTGTCAACCAAGAGCAAGTGGTAGTCTGCCTACTCTGAATCATTTCACTAACAAGATATTCTTCTATCGGCCAAATCCTTCATTCTTAGTGAGAATTTTCTCTTATCTCTACTCCTTTTATTTTTCATGTTGATTTGGAAGGGATTTATTTCTCTCCCAACCAAGTGGCACGCTAGGCGAAGTCGTTTCTCGGCCATCATTCTCTCTCTCTCTCTCTCTTTTGGTTTGAGGCCGGCGAGCTGTTAGCCCTAAAGTCTGCTAATTATACACATATGGAGCTTATTTTACTCTAATCCTATAATAATTTTTTGAGTTAAAACGTTTAAGAATACAAAGACCGATCCAATGACATATTTGACCAAAAAATTTAAAAATATCCAATGAGATAAGAACCCTTATGTTGACTAACTACACGAATCCGTAATAGGAAGAGTGTGTGTGATGGTATTCTACGCCACATTTATCGATGAACTTCCGTTAGCAGTTGATTGTGTGGATCTTAAATATACCAAAAAAAATCTAAGTATACTGCATAACTGCAATAAAACTTAACCCAAAAAAAAAAAAACAGAGAGAGGAATGGATACCGCCATGCTGGTAGATTATGGAAGTTGGTTATTTAAAAGTTGGGGAAGCAGAAAGGGAAGAGCATCGTGATTCCCAACAAAAAAGAAAAAGGAAACAAAGAAAGGAAACCGTCACAGTATGTTTGCTTCTCCTTGGAAAAATCAATGCGGTTCATGTTCGCTTTCCGATCCTCAGCCCCCACAAAGTCAAATTCCATCTCACATACAAAAACATACAAGTCACCTCTTCCCAAAGCTCAGCCCTAACTATCCCATCCCATCGATTGAATTGAATTTATTGTTCTCAAGTCTGAAACACATATCCAGCTCTCTCTATCTATACACGCATATATATATATATAGAGACACATCTACCTCCTCACATCTTTATGTCGTTCCCATACGCAATTTAATGATATATATGCCCGAAGAATTACTTGAGGATACCGATGGGAGAGACCAGCTTCGCATTAGAGAAAAGGGAACTACATCTATAGATTCTGGGAAAGCCATGTCGAGAGCAAGTTTCTACAACCCATCGAGGGAAATAATAATGATATTAAAAAAGAAAGATTTACTACGTTACTCATCGATCATTGGAGTGCCATTTCCTCGTCTCACTTTCTTAATCTTACCGTAAAGATCTAGCAGCAACGGCGCCGGAAACAAAGATTCGATCTCTTTGGACAGATCAAGAAAATTTCCAGTGGCGCAAGGTTTTCGCTTGCCGGATGGAATTGATTTGGGCTTCTTGGGAGCAGGCGGACACGGCAGGCTCGATGGGATTTTGTGACCCGAAAGTGTTGGAGTCTTGCACTCATCGTTTGATTCATCAAGATCTTTCTCAGCCTGGAGATCGCGGGGTGGAATTTTGAGCTTCAAATTAGCTGCGGAAACAATATTGCGGGGTCGTTCTCGTTCTTTTTCGCCTTCTGGGTGGTCGCCACAAAGCTCGGCATCTTCTTGGGTTGAAGTACTTGGCCATTTCGTTTCATCGTGGAATTCCACAGTGGGCCTTGCCAACAGACTGAATCCCATCTCGTAAAGCATTAGGTCCGAGCCTGGAATACGGATAACGCGAAGAAATTAATTACGCAAGCAGATGTAGATATGTAGAAACGGATGAAAATGGGTGTGCCCATGAAGAGAGGGTTCTTCTCCACCTTGTTTTTATGAGCTAGTTACTACGAGAGAGAGAGAGATAGTTTCGGGCGAAGGATCCAATGCAAAGGATACGAGTTTAGGGGATGAGGCATTAAGTAAGAATAAAATGGGGACGAAGCGATCGCTTTTTTACTCGATGCAGTCCCTGTGCACGTGCCTTTCTCCGACCTTTTGATGTCCCCCGATATTTCTCCTTTTTCTATTCCTACCTTCATTTTTCCTTCCTTTTTACAAAGTTTTCAGGTTATTGTCATTCTTTTCTTTCTTTCTATATTCCCAATTTTTACCACACCCCTTCACTAATTCAGTATACTCATGTCATGTAATTATGCTCTCAGTATAACTCCATGATCATCACTCGCAATCCGAAATGTGTTTCCCTGCATTTCCTTCTTATATATGTATCATTTAGCATTCTGAGAATATTGAATTAGCGTTTTTGTCCTTACTCCTACAGATCAATACATTTCAAGTGTTATCAACTTCATAATGAAAAATCAGTGCTAATTATACGTATTTGTATATATAGATGCAATTAATAATTTCCCATTCGACGCCATTCTGTTATGCATCATGAGATATTATTAACATATCCATCTGCTTCTTTATTATCGGCGTGAAAAGGAGACTTTATATGAATCACTTTTACTCCTCACACATCCTTCTTTTGTGAATAGGCGTGAAAAGGACATGAGCAGGACCCCTAACTTCAAGACTCAAATTAAATGCTTCTCTCTCTATTTTAGTGTTATCTCAATATTAAGCAATAAGTGATGAGGATATTTTGTGGAAAACATGATTAGCTAATTGACGATATATTGGATGAAGAGGGGAATGGCATTTGAAGAGAGAAAGTAATTAATATGGTGATAAAACATGAATAATAGAGTGGGATATAATGAGATCGTGGAATGGGAAATGGGAGGTGGGGTTTCAGAAAAGGGTCCCCAATGCCGGCCATTTGTGAAGTTTGGGATGATTGTCCCACGCATTTTGGCTTGGACCCAGGATCCCCAAATTTACTAATTCCTTAGCATCCAACAATCATCCTCCGCTGATTTTCGTATTTTGGGGCATATCTGTAAAGCTCATTGCAAGCAATATATGGCCAGAAAGTCCAGAGGGTACGGTGGAGAGATGATCTTCTCGGGTTTTATAAATAAATCCCGATACATTGAATTTACTGCAGAATTGCACATATATATATATATATATATATATCTATGTTATACATTTGATGCTGCTATTTTTAAGATCTTGATCGAATGTGTGTGAGAAGGAGTGGATAGTTTTTGGAGATGAAAATGACAAAGTGAATGTGCAGAAAATGGAGGGCCCAACCAGATTGCTTGGATTTCACCACATGATGACTGATATACTTTCAGGAGTCTGGACCACATACACAACCCACCCCCGTACCTTTCTTTTTCTTCTTAATAATTTCACTCTTTCATCACTACTTCATCTCTGCCTTTTTTTTCTTTCATTCACATTTACCACTTCTCCAACCTAGCCACCACGCTATTTCTGTTAGTTTAATTAACGTCGACCACAACAGAGTCTGTTATCTCTATGGACAATGCTTAACCCAAAACTTGTTCGTTTTGCCCATATATAGTTGAGATGCAATAGCTACGTTAAGAAGCAACAACAAATCTTGTCTTTCATCTATTAGCCTAAGTTAAGTGCATATTATTATAATTGTATAGTTTGATTTAAAGTATAAATTGCAGAGAGGACATGATGGTGTGGGGGAGTGTGTATAAGGGGGTAGAGAGGGCCAAACTTAAAATAATTATTTAAAAAAAAAGGTGAATGTACACACTCTCATGGGACATAATTGCATCCTATGCTCATGCTTAATGAAATCAGTTCCCATCTGAGATCATGATGTTCCCATCCCTAACAATCATGAATCACATCCCTCTATCTCCTGCAACAACATTTCAACCCAGGCCCTCCTCTCCACTTTCTCCTATATATATTTATATTCCCTGATCCCTTCCGCCATTCTCTTTCTCTGTCGATCTCTCCCTTTTAATGGGTGCACAAAAACACACACACACATATGTATAGATTGATAATTAATACTACCTCCGGTCCTTATTATAAGACCCCGTTTGACTTTTTATTTGGTCCTAATTATAAGACCCCAATCCATTTTGTCTCTCATATTTATGCATTTTTTTCCAAGATAATCCTTCTAATAATGATAGTTCTAGCCAATATACTTAATTAGCAAGGATATTTTAGGAATGACAACACTTATTTATTACAAATAACTAACTTAACTTGCTTCCTTAATCTCCTCAAATAAGTCAACTGGGCCTTATAATTAGGACCGGAGGTAGTATATGGACACCAGTGCGACCAATGACTGAGAGTTGTAGGATATAATGGTCTTCAATTTAAATTATACTTAAGTAAGATTCAGTTGAATGGTGAAAATAACAAAAAAATGGATGACAAGTGGAAGCGAAACATGGGATTCTGGTGTGGTATTATATATCAGAGTGATAGAGAGTAAAATGAGCATGATGAAGGAGGAGGCAGGCTGATACGATGAGATATAGATGATCCCAAAACGTGGACGAGACAGAATAATAGGGCATGTCCCTTTATGCAGACAAGCTGCGCACCACCAACGTGCCCTTGTTCTTGTTGGCTCTTCCTATCTTAGCAACTATATCTTACGTTCTCGTCGACTCTCGTCCTTCTCCATTGGCCCACGCCGATATTTCCTATCTTAACCCATTCTCTTCTCCTCCCCTCTTTTGTTTCAAACAGCCTCCTAATCACTGTTTATGGCTTTTATTGATTCGCTTCTAATTATTAGCGTTAATGCCTTAATTATTCATTACCAACACCCATATATGCGACGCATCACCAGCAGGGCGCCATTTACTCTCGGGCTGCTAATCCCAATCATTAATAACCCCATCGACCAAGTTTCACTATCAAAAATTGAAAAAACACACTTAATTTAAGTTGGACCATTTTAAGTTTTAATGACTTCTATATTTCTTGGGCCACACGGGTCAAACTGTATACTTTAAAGGAATGAAATGGCGGGTGACATTGGACTTGTTGATTAAGGGGCGGCGGAAATTGTTTAGCGTTCTTGAATAAGTCGAAACATAGTGCGTAGGGTAAGTGCGTTTAATTAAGTAGTACTGGATAATAGCATTAACCCGGGGCTAATTATTAATGTTGTAACTTTGACTTAATAGGAATCATTCGATTCAACATCCTAAAAGGATTACTCAGCTCTTTGTTCAGGTGGGCTTTGTCTTTCCTTCTCCGCTAGAGCCATCTTTTCTATATTGCAGGAGCTATAGCGCTCCCCTTTCTCTTTGATTCATTCTTCTGTTCTTTCCTGTACTTTTTTTTTTCCTTTCAGTTTTTTCCTTCCAACCATTTTTAATAAATATGATGGAGCATCAAAACCGAGAGTTATGTTGTTCAAGAATTTTAACCCTAAGAAATTATTTTTGCGGAGCGGGTGTTGTGTCCTTAGGATACAAGCAACATGCCTCGCCTTGTTCATATGTTCATTAAATTAACAAGGAGAACAAGCTTCACTATTTAACGGCTTTTAATTTGTGTGTTTCCCCTTACCCATAGATATAAGAATATCATTCATAGTTAATTCCCCCAACGAGAAACAAATAGTAATCCATTCTCCATCATCTATTTTCTTTACATTTTATAAAACATGACAGTGGTCTATCTATCTCGTCCAATCTTTCCCCCTTTCGTTTAATTTTTAACGTCATGAAAGATTTCTGTTTTTTTTTTTTGCTAAAGCATAGGTATCCTCTTATTATAAGTAATTATATTCGAGATACTATCAGGTACTAAATGTAGACACTTCTTTCAGTAGGGATTCGAATTTTAGTTCGTCACGTTGTGAGAGACTAACCCAAACCCTGTCCTCCTTTTCCCACCTTTTTGTTCCCAAAAAATGAAAGTTTCCGGCCCAGTTCACCTTTATCACGCAAATAGGCCTTCGGCCTTGACAGCTGGTGGGCCGGTACCATTAGGGCCAGGCAATAAGGACGCCTTAAAGGCAAAAGGGTAAAGGAAGGGAAAAGGAAACCTAAAACAGTACGAGTAGTATTTAAATCAAATAAATTAAACCGTTCCACACCAAAAAAAAAAAAATCACGAAACTATCTAATTGTCAAAAAGAGGGTGGGGTATGAATAGTAGGGTCCAGATACTTTTAATGAGATAAAAATAATTTTAAATTATGCTAGAAAACAAATTTGGTTGACATTTTATAAGTCCATTTAATGCTTAAAAAATTGGACTAATGTGTGCTCAGCGTGTGAAGTGTTCAAAGCTGGCTACTTTCTCTAATGTTTATTGATATCTTACCAATGGGAGCCACAGGGTAACCATTTAGAATTGAAAACCACAAAAAATTCAAACTTGATCGCCCGTATTAGATTTTGAACAGTTTAAATCTGGTCTCAATCATAATCCGGAATCATATATGCCATCCTCTGTTTTGGCTTGGCAGGGGTGTGCCCTCGACGTATGCTCTCATTTAAATTCTAATCATACTTTACCCAAACAAGACATGTGAAAGAAAATTAGGCTGCCTTAATTTGTGCCGCATATGGCTCCTGATTAAACCAAAAAATAGCCAAATGCATGTTCATTTCACGACTGAATACTGAAATAGCAGCATCGCAACAGCGTTGTTTATGTAATCATAAGAACACAATAACTTGCTATATTTTTTCTTGAAAAAAAATTGAGAGGCCGAGTGGCGAACCCTTTACATTGCAGTAACTGGAGGAGGTTGGTAGCCCAGTCCATGTTGGTCTTCTGTCAAGGAATACGCAAATTTTGCAAACTAAAGACAGATAATTAGCAGCGTTGGAGTATTCTGTCTCCAGCAGAAAGCAGGGAAGCATTGACATGCATATCTGTAGAATTAAATGGGTGATCATATTCTTGTTCGTCCATGAACATATGAAGCCTGGAATATCCTTTGCCACGGTTTATCATTGGATCAGACTCCTCTTTCAAGTTCCACAGATGTGACTCCTCTTTCTTTCCAGCAGCCATGTCTTCTTTCGTGCTTGTATCAGAATTCTGAAGCATACCAATTTCACCCAAATCATCACGAGAGTACATCGTTTCAAATTCTACAGTGTGATGGTTGTTGAAGTCCGAGTGACATCTGCCGAATGGTGTTGACGATGATGCTTCTCTTGGAGCTGACCGTTCGCTGAAACTCCCAAAACCTTGAATTCCTCTGGTTACTTTCCGAGCACGTTCCCTCTCTCCCTTTAGAAGTGGCCCATCTTCCAGCAGCATCAATATGCGTTCCGATTTCTTCTGGAGAGTTAGGCCCCAATTGAACCTGCAAATACTCGAAATGTGGTCATGCCGGCGTCAATGAGAACGCTATGAGCCCCCGAGATCAAATTATTAAGAAATGCAAGCTCCATACCTTCTGTCATCAATATGCTGAAAGCCTTTCATCTGATTAATAACATCTTTGTCGCTCTGGAATTCCACTGCAACACTTTCCGGCCCATGAGTTAGTAGGTAGTCGAGCAAAATCAGAGAATTGTAAGAGGCCCTCCAATCCTTCTTTTCAAATTTAAGCAATCTGTTTCGAAACCATTCCTGTCAGTTACGTACCCATGATTTCTTACCACCAAAATTAACTTTGACATGAAAATCGGAACCTTTTGTGCAGAATCTCGACGATCCTCCAATACTCTTCAAGTTCAAAAGCAGCTCTAGAAATTAATCTGAGTGTCGGCGAAGCCGGGGGCCATGGATTTCCATTTGTAGCCTCTTCTGTCATCCTGCAAATATAGTAGAAAGGCCATATTAAGAGATTAACAGAGCCGAAAACCAGACCTAGAGCTATCTTCACACGAAGTCAAAATTGACGAGCTTTACAACTGTGCAGGGGTGACATCAGTGAGTGCTAATCTAGCTGTCTTGATTTTCTCCTTGAGGAAGAAAGAAGCTCGCTTTCTGAATTCGTGCAACAGGGGCGAGCTCATTTTGCTGTTCTTCCGCTGTCGGTCCTATGAATGGTCTAAACTTGGATTGGAATAAGCCGAACGCACAGCTCACAGCTACTCTTGTGATACAAGGGAACCAGCATCTGCATAATCAATTGGGTTTCGGATATAGTAACTAGCTAGTAAGCAAGAATAGATTAGAATTGATAGACCTTATGTGAAGATGAGAATTCAATGAAGAATTTCGCAAAGAACTTGCGGGTCAGATTTGAGTTTGAAAATGATGACAGGTCTGGAAGTCATTAGTGTCTTTGGCTTTGAAGAAGTAAACGCATAATAAAACCATGTGACGCTGTAAAGTCAACATGTCTAAAGTCATGACTTGGTTTTGAGGTTGAAATTTGAATATGCTTATTCCTTGGTCCTTCTGGAAGGACAAAAGAGGAAGCGCGTGTTGAAGTTGAAAAAGAAATGCAGGGGCATACACATTTGCAATATGGAGACGAAGGGCAACGTGGCCAGTTTGTGGCAGGTGTGAATTTTGCCACGCATGGATTTGCTGAGATGCCATCCCTCGACCATGCATGGAAAAGGACTTAGTGTTGAGGCGTAGTATATGGATGTATCAGCATAACTAAGAATGCATTATGTGCAAAATGACGCTTTATTTTTCTCCAGTTCTATGATTTATTTAATGCAGAAACAAACTTTTTGTGTATCCGATGTTGATGTTATAGGTTATGATCGATGTCCGTGTTCTTTATGGATTGATTGTTATCGGTTTTCTTTGAAATTTTGGAAAAGTTTTCCTTGAATTGACCTGCATTTTGCTATCTAGCTACTATGTAATCTCAGCAATCAGAAACCTTTTTTTCTGTTATTGTTTGTTTTTTTAACATAAATTGAGTTGGATGAGGTGGGATTCAAGTTATTGTTTGTTGTTGTTTGTCTTGTACTATACCAGTAAGTCACATAGACTAATACTACTTCAGTCCAAGAAAAGACTAATACTGCTATGTTGCCCCTCTTTTTTTTTCCCCCCCTCCCCAAAGCCATCTCCCCCCCCCCCTAAAACCACATCTGCTGGTTGGCCGGAAAAAAAAATTAGCACCTCTGCTGGCAGCCAACGCTCTGGTGATTAATGAAGCAATTAATTGAGTGAGATTTACGAAGTAAACAAAAGGAAAGAAAATAAAAAGGCACCAGGAAAGAGATGTATACTGGCCAAGATGGTTTATGAGAGAGGTGAGAGCACATGATGCTGGAGGGGATTTGCGCTTTGATTATTATTAACCCCTAAATAAGTCGATTGCACCATCTATGTTATTCCTCCTTTCACTAAAGTCCACTACGACCCCTGCCAAAAGGATTAAAAACTCATTCCCATACAACACAACTGGTGATTAGTTCGGTTCATTTCTCTATCATTTATTCTGTGTAATAAATACAACTTTATATTGATTATTAAGTTGTGCTGGAATTCTCTTTCAGCAAAATGACACACCCCTTGCTTATTTTATTTCATACTAGCACTTCAATAGATGTAAGTTCTCTTCGGCAGAAAGAAAAACTAAATGTATATTATAAAGCTTAGTTAAAAATGGGATATCATTTCAAAGAAAGGAGTGACTTTGCACTTTGGGGGAACAATGGGAGAGGTGAGGGATTCAAAGGTATAATGATTCAATATTTGCAAAGTGGGAAAACCACCCGTAGCCACCTTCTCCACAACCCACTTGCATCCACCCCCCCCCCCAAAAAAAAAACCCTCTCCCACTTCTACCTCTATTCTACTACTCTGCCTCAAATGGAGTATTTTATATTCATGTTTTTAATTTTATTTTCTTACAAATATAATATTTCCAATCTTAAAAAAATGTGGACGTTTGCTTGATTAAATTCAAGAGAGAAAAAAGAAATAATATTTCATTTTTAAGAGAAAAAATATTTTTTTGTTCACAGGTTGGCGGATATATGGAAATTCGATTCAATTCAACTGAATATTTTTATTATTTCTTGCGTCTGATAAACATGTTGGAGCGTGAAATTGGATATTATGAATGTTGATGAGGAAAGCACATTGAGGGGACCGACCTTGTTGGTTGACTAAGTAATCCAAAAACCAATTATGAGAGATGGCACGGTGGATTCTCCACAAATATCCAAATTCCAAACCAACTGAAATGGAGTTGAGTTGGGAACTTTAACCTATCACGATGCGCTGGGTGTTAAGAATTTATTTTAGGAGCAACAAATAATAGTGGTTCAGATGTGCAGAACTGAAATTCAATGACATGAAAAGCAAGAGTTCACGGCGTGGCCTGCATCTAATACCCACCTTCCCTGCCTGCCCTGCATTTACTCCCAAGTTCAATATATTGGTTCTCTCTTCAACTTTTCCTATTTTTGCATCATACCAACTTGATATTTTGCAGCAGTAGTGTTCAATTTTTCATCCGCCAAAATACTGTTCCTCAGACTTTGATTCATTTCGCCTTTCTTATTTAATATTTTACAGTTTTTCTTGCTCTATTTCTCCCTCAAATTTTACTACGATTTGTGCCAAACAGAGTGGCAGGAATTGATGAGGTGTGCAGATGCACGGATAAGCTTTTAAGGAATGACTTGGCCAGAAAATTACAATTCACCGTAATATAATAAACTTATAATGAACAAAATTCAGCTTTTACAACTTTATATCCCTCGCCACCCGCTAAATTGCACAACTAAGTCTCTTAGGCTCAATCCCAGAGCTTACTTGCTATTTTACAAAGGGCGACGAGGGAGGTTAAATGAAAACGACAAAAATCAAATGCGTGACCCTTGGGCACTATATATCTCTCCTTTTTCAAGGTTTTCTTCCTCAGCTTAAGGTATGGATTTCCCTTACAGTTATACACAGGATCTCCATATCCTTCCCTCCAAGGAAATAACAATGATAGAAACATCATCATGGTAACGACGCCTGTCTCCCTGTGGTATTTCCAGCAACTCGTGGAAGTCCAAACCTGAGGGCAGTGATAAAGACTTGGTGAAAAATGGTCCCTTGATTTGTTAAAAGGCATATATGTATTTAGACGAGATATTATTAGACGCACCAGCTTTCTTTGCAGCACGGAAGAGAACTTCTTCGACCAAATGCTGAGCAGGGTCTCCCTCAGGCTGCAACGTGATGAAAAGCTCAACTTCTGTTACAGCCTCTTCGTTTGTCAGGTATTGATAAAGCCCATCAGATGACAGGATCAAAAATTTGTCTTTTGGCCCTAATCTGTGGTGCTTTAGGTATGGTAGGCAGGTGATGTATGGAGACGTTCCTACATAGTCTATTCTGAACATTTCCAGAAGCGCATTGTTCCACTTCGGCTGCAACATTTCAAATAATAACAAGCATTACCAAAATGCCAGAAGGCAAATCCAAAAATGAACATCCATCAATCGTATTTGGAAATATCTCTAGTTTCTGAAAATAGATTGATATAGCACTAGAGGATGCAGAAATCTTTTGTTGTAACAAAAGGATGCAGAAATGGGTAGAATCATAGCTTTCTTCATCACAACATGTAACAGAAAGCAATACCAACCTGCTTGAGATAGCCGGCACCAAATGCTCGAGTAACCTTCAGGGAACCCTTAACGCGATCATTTACCATTGGGCAAGCATCATCTGGGTGTTCTCTCAGTATTCTCTGGACCTCCTGAAAAATAAATTAACACTTCATTTTGATCAAGATGAACGAGAAAAAATGAAAACTGACTCGGAAAACTTAAAAAGCAGCTAGAGGACTTACTTCCTCGACATTGGTAGAATGATCCTTGGTTAGTTGACAGGCACTTAGACTAGGCACCAAATTTGATCTGTCATCGTCCAAGCATTCAAGATCATGCATTGTTTCTTCATTGATCCTCTCCAAGTCCTGCTTGATTTTGCCAAGCCAATAATCAGGCTCTGCCTTTTGACCCAATACCGCTCTGCTATCACCAACGTTCATCACATAAACATCCTCTCCTTTCATTAACATTACGAGAACGCACGAACCCATCAGAGCTAGCTCCGGATTTTCCATGACCATCTTATCCGCAACTTCTAAATAAGACTCCTCTGTTTTTCTCAGAGCTTCCGAAAGAGCTTCCAGTACATCTGAATGATTTATTGGGTTGTTGCAGTCACCGGAACCAGATCGATTCAACTGTTCCTTTAATCTCCTATCAAGTTCTACTCTTTCACGGTCCCACTCACACTTCCACCTTCTCTGATTCTCCTCCCATTTCTTTGTCGCCCCTCTGTACTTGTTCTTGCAATTCTTACCTCGCTTTTTCTTATCAATATCCGCATCTCCACTTGGGCATGCATCATTCTCCTGCTCGACACATTGAGAACAAGCAATTACCACCCTATCCTTCCCAACATCACTATCGCTGCCTTGTAACGATCCTTCCAAATTTGAATTATTCGTCGGAAGACCGGACATGTCGGGGGTGGCGTTGGAGGATTCAGACCCGTCGTCCCATAATAATCCCTTCAATTCTTTATGAACAGCACCATACAAATTAGACAGAAGGTAATCGGGAGCATCAGGACCATTAAAGCCATCGTAAATCCCCACGAAAACCCAACCGTGCTCCTCTGAAACCACAACATGGACTCTATCCTCGCCCGCTTTCCCTTGAGCCCATTGAAGATTTTGACTTTCCATCGAATCATCATCTTCTAAACTACCATCGCTGCTGAAATTCACACTGCTTACCATCAGGTTATCGTTGTGCCTCTCTGGTTCGATAATCCACTCCGGTTCTTTAATCCCTTTGATGGAAGAGACAATTGAGTGTTGTCCCTGAGATAATGTCTTCGAAATCGCCCTCTGAAGAACTTGAATCCATCGGCCTTTTCGCGTTCTGGGTCTAAACGCAAAACCCCCGTGAGAGTAGCTTCTTTGAAACTGATCAGAACTACCCCTTTCCATAGGACCCGAAAACAAGCCCCGATCGATTGGACCCGACATAAATCCACGCTCTATTGGACCAGACATGAATCCTCTTTCAAGCGGACCCGATCCAGGAATCAGACCAAGATTGCCCGAGAAAGGACCGGAATTCATGAGATTTCTAGGGATTGGCTGCAGAGGAAGGGAAGCAAAAGAAGTTGAACTCTCGAAAGCTGCAGCTCTGTCGATGCAACCGTAAGAGTACAAATCAACGAAGGCTGTGGAAAGAGGGGTAGATGTGTTGGCACTCACAGATGCGCCGGAGATTGTTCGGAAGGTTGTGGTCTCCTCACAGTGGACTTTGGAAGAAGACAGACGGGTCGGGTCAGGCCTAACATAGCAGAAGGAGTGGCCCAGTCCCTCGTCAAGAGGCTGAGAGATCAAATAAGATATGTCCTGCTTCTGTTGACGGCCTCCACCGCCGGTAAAGCAAACGGTCAACTTGCATATGCCGTTGCCCATCGGAAAATGAAAGAATCCAAGAAAATAAGCAAGCCTGCTGCAATCAGATACTCATGGCTGCAAGATGAATAGGCAGGAAATGTGAGAGACAGAGTAAAGAAAGAGAAGGCAGAGGTATGAAGAAGAGGTGGAAGGGAGGCTGGGGGCGTTGACTTTTAATAAGGTTTTCTGAAGATGAAAACAACCCAAAACAAAAACAAAAACAAAACTCTCGTTTTCTACATAAAATAAATTCTTTCCGATTTTCGATGTGTGGGGGGCATTGACTTGTTTTAAGGCTTAAGTAGAGAATCAAAATTTTTTATAAAAATATTAAAAATAAAAGTGAAACGACCCTTTTGCC